GGGGGGGGGAATCCCCGCCCTGCGCCCCCAGGCGTCACCGCACAGCCTGGCTTGGCGTCCCCAGCTCACGCACAACTGCGCGGGGGAGGCGGGCAGCGGGATATGGAGAGGTGCGCACACACCCAACGGCGGCGGGTCGTCGGGTTAGTCTCCGTGATCAGATCCCCCCCCCAATAATTATTCCGGGTTTATAGTCAGTGAATTGCAGGTGGAAATGGGGGGGGGTCGCGTTCCATTCAAGTTCGCTGAAAATCGCGCGCTTTGCATGGGAGAACCGAGGTGCTTGCTCCACCCTTGGCCTTCCCCAAAGTTCAGCCCGGCCTGCCCGGCTCTCCTGCCCCCCCCTCAAGCCCCGCACGCAGAACCCCCTCCCCCGGTTCCCGTGTTGGGGTGGGGCAGATTCCGATGGTCCCCAGGGAGTGGTGACACACACCCCCCCGCCCCCGCCCCCAGCACCGGGAACTTCCAGGTCCGTAGGGTCGTGAGTGAGGACTGGGATTATCAGAAAATTGTTTGGGCCTGGGTCTTTCACCTGGGCCGAGCCTGCCCTGGAGCTGAGAGCAGCGGTCAGAGCCCCGCCCCGGGCTAGAAAGGTCGAAGCTAGTTGAGGATGCCTGGATCTGGGTGTGGACTGCCCCCGGCCGCTTCCCTGTTCTTCCCGGCACCCTTCAGGGAAGGGTCCGGAATTCTACGGGGAAGCGGTGCCAGGTCTACTTGGAGGTAAATAAGGGGTTAAAAATAAACAAAATAAAAGACATCACCCCCCGCAGACGAGCTCCGGGGTCCCCGGGACCGGGTCGGGGAGCGGAGCCCGCGCCACCGCCGCCGCCGCCGGCCAGCAGGGGGCGCGCGCCGCCCGTCTCCGAACGCTCCCACCTCCGCCCCACGTGAAAGGGGGCTGGGACCCAAAGAATGCGGCCCGCCCCGCGGCTGACGCGCCGGGCTGCCGGCCGGGTGGATTAAAAGGCCGGGCGGTGCGGGTGGCATCCCCACAGAGCCGGAGCGGAGACGAGTGGCGGTGCCGGGCGGCGGTGAGCGCGGCTGTCACGGTGCCCCAGCATCCCCGGGCTTCCCAGAGCCGATCCTCCCCTTCCCCCGACCCGCCCGCCGGCGGCCCCAACCCCGCGCCCCCCTCGCCGAACCTCGCGCGCCCGCCCGCCCGCGTCCCGGACTTCGCACAAAGCACGTTCCCCACGCAGAGCCCCGGCCGCCCTCAGTCTTTTGTTCCGCGGGGGCTGCCGCTGCCCTTCCCGCGTCGGAGTCTTCCTCCCGGGGTGGCGGGGCCCCGCCGGGCGCAGTCGCGAAGATGCCCTTGGAGCTAACCCAGAGCCGGGTGCAGAAGATCTGGGTGCCCGTGGACCATCGGCCCTCGTTGCCCAGATGTGAGTGCAGCTGCTCGGGCTTCCAGGCTGCAGGTGGAGTCGCGCGCGCCCAGCTCGGCCTTTGTAAGCG